CAGGTGTGAACCAGCTCTGGCTGGCTTTTGCTTAGCTGCCGATACAGAGTACAAAAAACACACACACACACACACACACACACACACACACACACACACACACACAAATACAACATAAGCATAAGCTTGCAAACAGGCATAGGCCCCTTCCAACCCCCACCCAGAGCTAAAATCAAGTCAAGTCTCATGCACATCTGCTTCACCAGCAGTGGCTGCTGAGTAAGCACTACATTAGCCTCTGCTTTCCTTCATAAATGATCATAACAGGACAGAAAAAGTCCCCTTATATCTCACAAAAAATTAAAAACAAAAAACAAAAAACTACTTGGCATCAATTTCCTGTAAATGGAAGTCAATCATCTTTCTTTATCAAAGGTTTGCTTAAAAAGTTCTGCCAAACTTCAGAATGAACTCTGTAATTTCACAAGTTTCTTGAGTGAGCAAGTGATGGGGAATACACCGTCTGTTCAGACCTCACACCCAGCTTTGAAGCTGGCAGCAAAACACAAAGTGATTCATAACTGCAGAATGCAAAAAGCTATTTTTAAATCTCAGGTGAGGCATTCCACAAATAACAGGTGTCAGAAGTGCTGAATGGTAGATGCATGGGAATCTCACTTATGAACACCAGTTTGTACATTCTACCTGAAGATAAGTGTTTGATAGACACTAGTGTGCGACGGCAATAAAATCAGGTATTTAAAGGTGTGTAACCATTTACATCACTCTTCTTTACTTGTGTAGAGCACTGATGATACGTTGTGGGTCTACGGTGCCGTTTACAGATAAGTTCACTATGATTGTTCTCACTCCATTATCCCCAGGCACCGGACACTAGTTTTCCAATGCGCTGCAGCAACCCATTGCCTTTGCCTTAGAGTGGGTGTCTTTTCAGACCTAATCATAGCTTTAGCCTGCAGGTATGTGGCTTGCCAGGTTCAGTCATGCTGGAAAACCCATCATTCAACAACTTTTATCGTCACAACTGCGAGGTGTTGCTAGGCACGTCTTTTCATGTGCTATATTGCTGCTCAGAGAGCTGTAAGGTTTTATATCTAACCCGCCAAAATATTCTCATTTGTCTTTGTCTCAAAGCTGGAACTAAAAGAGTTTTAATGTAGTATTTAATTCATTAAATGCCATACGGTGACAGTTATTGGACAATGAACTGCTGTATGGATAGGGGAGCAATACAAAGCATTTCCCCCCATCTCTACTTTTTTTTTTTTGTCTGACTTAGAAAGCTTGGCTTTGGTTCGTGAAACAATTTCTTTGGGAATTTATTACACCATCTTTCTGTCATCTGGCAAAGAACATTTGAATAAATCTCCCTGACAAGGTAGAAAAGATACGAGACCTACTGAGCATTGAGGGAGCTGTAATGACACATCAAATGGAGAAAACAAAGAACTGCTTACCAATTCAGAAACTTCCAGACAAAACTCAAGCCGTCTAATTATTGTTTTAACGGATATGAGATAGAGTATATTGTTTGCATGGTATTATGAAATATACTTAATGTACTTTCTTTTCTTTTTTTACCAGAAAGTAAATACTTTCTTGTAAACTTTGTGTGAATGACTTTTTTTTTAATTGGTACCGTGAGAAAAGCAAAAGGACGTGTTAATTTCCCTCTAAATGGTAGCAAGAGTGTTAAAGAGTTCTCAGTTCTTCTTTGTAAATAAACAAATTTCATTAATGGCTTTATAGGATATTGCCCCCTCCCCACCCCCCTTCAGGAAATGTGCAAATCTTAATAAACAACAAACAAAAAAAGGTAATTTCACTAGGAATAACAGCTATTGTGCAGCACTGTTATTAAATTTTATCACTCTAGAGGAGTGAAGTTGCAGAGGGGAGCTGTCCGAAGTCTTGTATCTGTGGTGGAGTACATGCTGTGTCATCTTCCTCTTCCTTTAAGCAATATATGAGTGACTAGTGGGTGTGCCTGCACTGTGGTATTGACAGATCTGGCCCTGTCACTTGTCTTGTGTCAAGAAAGCCTGTGGGAGACAGGAAGTCGGGCTTCAGAGTGGACAGAAAACAGACATCTAACCACAGTGGCAACCTTGATCCCAGAAAACACTGAACAACTGCTTGCAACTCTCCCTGGATCTCTCAGAGCCCTGTTTGTTACTGACTTAACCACGTAACCACCTTTGTTTTGAATGTTATCGACTCTCAGTAAAAAGAAAGCAAAAGTCTAAGCAAAGACAAACAAATCATATTCAAGTAAAAATATACAATATATTTGAACTATAAACTTTTACAGAATGTCTTGGACATTTAGCTTTACACATACTATACATAAGGGTCCAACAAGGGTCACTTTCATATTCTTGTTGATTTAAAAAAAAAAATGTTCCCATGGCAACCACATTTTATGTACATCTTTATAAACATACCAAACAAAACAGCCCTTGGGAGCACTTTAAGAGGCCATGATGAGATACAGATGCCTTGTATAAAAATCCCTGAAAATGTCTCACTGTGAGGTAAGAATACACTGGTCAATCTCATTTCCTTTTATGCCCTTTCATTCATCAAACTCGTTCATTTGTTCTGAGATGAGACGGGCGACAAAGCACAGCTAATTACACGTCATCTTTCTCGAAACATTACTTTTTCGTCAGAAGTAGCTGCAGACTGAAGAAGGTTGGATTAAAAAACAAGGTGGACGTGTACTTGTTCATGAACTGAATACTTACATATTTGTTCCTTTCAACTGACTAAAAGGATACTCCTACACGTTATACCTATAATTTCATGTTAAGGTATGGTCAAGGCCTCACCAACAACAGGTTATATGATGTAAAGGTTACAAGAAAAAACCTTGATAGAACAAAGTCCCATGCAAATAATGCAGCTTTGAGCAACAAGACGTACAGGGAGCGTTTTTGAAGGATAACATATTCAAACTTTGATATTTTGCGATTAAAAAATATCACAGTTAAAATATATATATACACAGAACAGGCTGCCAGATCTTACGTGTAAAGTCTAATAATGTTTAGCAGAAATTTGTGAAAGTATTCTGAGTGAAAGTGGAAGAAGAAAATATTTATAATGTATTTAAATACTTATATAAGAAAAACTGGACAGTAATTCAAGGTGGGATTGCTGCAGTA